AAGACTAGTGCCTGGTACATAGTTAGCACTCAGTAAGTGCCAACTGGCATCATCACCTCTACTATGGTAACCATCATTATTATCAGTACTGGTGGTGGTGGTGGCAGTCATAGCATAGCTCCTAGTGAATGGAGAGAGAGTCAGTGGTCAGAAAGTCTTCATGTTTCTTATTGTATCTTACTCTTCACAAGAATTCTGTGAGGTTTTTTATCACCATTTCAAAGGTGAAAATGAAAATTCAGGTGGGTGAAGAAACCTGTCTTAAGTCACAAAGCTAGTAAGTTGCAGACCCAGGATTCAGAGTAGAGTCAGTTTAATTAACATGGACTAGATGTGGTTCTTGGTGCCTTCTTTGTGCTCCACACATATTTCTGTTACTTCATATGGTATCTACTTGGTCACTTTTTGGCATTCCCCCCATACCACCACCTCCCAGATGACATCTTTCACCCACTGACAACCCTATCACGTGACACATGGTAGGAGTGCAGGAAGTGTTTGAGAGATTGTATTAAATAGTTGCAGCACTGTGGGTGAGCTCCTGCATCAAGAAAGTGTTCTGTCCCATCCGTTCTTCTGATCACCTGCTAGTACATGTCACTTGAGCCTTTGGGGTCTAGGGAACCTCTTGCTGAGTGAGAATAGCCTTGTCAGCATTTATTTACATGTACCCCATTCAGCCTCTATGGGTAAAAATTCAGAAACAGAAGAGCAAGCAGCGAAGGGAGCTGTTAGAACTTTCAAATGCTATTTTTTAAGATGTTCCAAAAATCCCTGAGTGTGGCTGAACATAAATAACCCTGGTGGGAATTGTCCTTGGGAGGCCATCCCATTGAGGAATGTTATTGCCCGAAACAAAAGCAAATGGCCAGCAGAGATTTTCTTTGGAGGACTTGGTGCACCTGTATGCTGTCTTTCATCAAGCGATATGAATAAACAATTCTTTTGTCAAAGCTAATTTATTTTTATGCTTGGAAAAGGTAGCAATAGAGACAAATGACTACACTTTATTTTGGCACAACTTCATCTTTGAAATGTGTTTGTAATGGTTCTGCCACTGAAAACTCCACTCAAGAACCTCAGCCTGGTTTGACAGGATGTTCTTTCTTCCCAAGGCTCAAGCACTCAGAGCAGAAAAATGGCATTGTTTTCCCTTGCAGACTTCAGTTTTATAAGCCTCTTTTTATGATGTCATTAGGAACTGTCCAAGTTCTGGGAGAAGTAATCATTCTTTGGGTTTCTCCAATATTCTGCTGCATAAAGTCTGCTGGGAGCTAACCATAGGCCAGAATGGTGTTGTCTGTAACCACTGGGTCTTCTCTCAAAATGTCAATACTGTGGAGTTAAAAGGCATTGAGTGAGTCCCAAAGATGGGTGTGACCTGAGGGACTGCACTTGATGATAGCATCTCTCAAAGCCGATTAGCAGGAAAAAACCCACTTCACAAACACTAGTTTTTCTCTCCATCCACTTGGCAACTGCAAAGACAGCAACTGGCAGTAAGTATCTGACATACCACTTACCCAGATCCATCCCAAAATACCAAGTTAGTTCACTAAGGCTTAGGCCCCAATATGAGGAGGAAAGAGATAGGTCAGTGTCATGGCCTTCAAGCTCTTGGGATGGAACCTTTGCTGCTTAGCAGCTTTTAATGTGGCCTCTGACCCACTCTCAGACCAGGAATTAACCTACCTCATTCTTCCCTTCACTCTCCAGAAGGGCCAAGTCACAAAAGAGATGGGGAAATATTTTGTGACTATGTGCAGTTGTATAGACCTTTTTGGATTTATGGTTGCCTATAATATTTTCCATGGGAAGGAGCAAAGAGCAGTAGCCTTATCTCAGCCAACTCAACCTGGTGGCAAACCCTTCTCCATCCATCAGACCTGCAGTCCAAATGTCACCTCTTCTGGGAAGCCACCCCTGATTCTCTAGGGAAGAATTCATGCCTCATATAGTTTTACTACATCATCTGCCTTAATGTTCCCTTATAGATCTTTCTCCTCACAAGCTGTAAGCTCCAGGAAGACAGTTTATATCCTCTCATCATGATCCCCCTAGTGCCAAACCCAATATGCAGAAGCTTTAGAAAAATAAGACTTTAAGGATTCTTTTGCATGGAATCATTACTAGCCCCTGTCGAGACTATCAACCTATCATCTCATTTCAGAAGCTTCTATCCTGCTGCTTCTCTCAAATTCTCTCAAAATTTCCAAATTTTGGAAAGCACCACACATGGGCTGAGCCCAACCTTAAAGCAGGAAGTGATTGTATTAAGAAGTTCCAGAAGGAACCAGTACTCTGAGGTTGCTGAGTGGATTCTAGACTCCCATACTCATTTACAAGGAAAAGCAGAATCTCAGTGTTCTTCCAGAACTTTTTCATCTCGCCACCTCCTCCTCACAGCTGAGTTTTATTTACACTGAAATATAATATGGACATTTTGATAAGCCATTGATTCATTCACTCAACTCATATCATAGTGAACACTTATTATGTGCTAAACATGCTAAGTACCAAGAATTCAGCTGGGGTATCAAAATAGTTAAAGTCTTGATTCATGGCCCAGCATGAAAGACAAATTAATTTTACAATTGATTCATTAATTATGATTATAATAAGTATCTTAGTACAATCAGGCTGCTATAACAGAATACCACAGATGGCTTATAAACAGTAGAAATTTATTTCTCACTGTTCCAGAGGCTGGAAAGTCCACAATGAAGGCACAACAGATTCAGTGTCTGATGAGGCCCACTTCCTGGTTCATAGATAGCTGCCTCTTTACTGTCCTCACATGGCAGCTCTCTGGGACCTCTTTTATAAGGGCACTCATCCCATTCATGAGTGGTCTGCCCTCATGACCTACTTACCTCCCAAAGGCCCTATCCCCAAATCCACCCCACTAAGGATTAGGTTTCAACATATGAGTTTTGAGGGGACACATGCGGTCCATTGCAGTAAGTGTTACCAAGAAGGTGAGCTAGGATTACAAGAAAGTACTCTAGGGGGACCCAACCTAGGGAAGTGAAGTTTTGAAGCTGAAATACAGAAGATGACAAGAAGGCCAAGAGTTGCCTAGGGAGGCAGGGAAAGGGACCAGCACTTGTGACAGCCTCCACGTAAGAAGATTAGCACAACACAAAGGCATCACCAAGCTCTGTGCAAAGGAATCACTATGTGTGTTTGAGTGAAGCTTCCGTGGTGGCACGGAAGAAACACCCTTCTAGCTAACTAGTGGGTACGGGGATTTATTGAAAGGAAGGTAAGAGATTCTCAAGGAACTGAAAGAGAGGAGGAATAAGTAGGCCTTGTGGGAATTAGAAAACCGGTAAAAGCCGAAGTTCCTTTCTGGGACTCTAGACAGCCTCTTCTCTCTCTTCTCCTTTTTACTCTCCCTCCTGTCCTTCCTGCCATCCCTTCCTCCCTTCCTCTTTCCCTCTCTACATCTCTACTTCTTTCTCTCTCTTCTTTGTCAAGTGTCTTATTCTGCTTTGACCGGCTCCAGTATGGCAGCCAACCCCGAGTCCACATCATCTTACCATTTCAGTTCCACCAGCCAATTGCAGTCTCAACGTCTCTCAGTTCAATTGCTTGAGAGAGTAATAGGATCGATAGCTGGCCACTTAATAGAATTAGTTGGTTGACTTTGAGTCAGGTGCCCATGTACTAGTCATCTTGTTTTTTTTTGCCACACAGAATTGGCCAGCCAATTCATGTTCCATGTGATCTAGGTGGAGTTCTACCCCAAGCCACAGGCATGGAGGACATAACTCATGCCTAAGCAAATCAGCACAGCATATTACTGGCCATAGAAATTGGTTCAGGGTATATATATGTGTAAGACTTTGGGTGAGAATTCTGGGATGAAAGATTCTCCATCTTCCATGCACATTACAAGAAGAAATACTCTTTCTTTAGATAATGAGATGTGATATTGTGAGGTTCAGATATTTAGCAACATTTTTGTGACATTAAGGGGAGCCAGAATGAGCATAGAGCCAACCCAGAGTAACCAAAACCAAGATTTTGAGTAAAAACTCAGTTGTGGTGATGTCATCTGAGCCATGATTCCAGCCTTACCTGAAGTTGTCTTTACCCCATGACATCTCCAAGCCAATCAGTTCTTTTTGTTGATTAAGCCAGCTTAAGTTGGATTTTTCTGTCACTTGCAGAAAAAGTCAAACTGATTTGGCTTGCTCCTTACCCTAACAGTTGTGGAGTGGGGCTAGGAGGGCAAGTTATGTTCCAAGTGGGAAATGATTCTTTGAGAAGGTAATCAATCCAAAATATATTCAAGGCACCTGGACAACTTAGAGGTATAAAGAAACAAATAGCATGGCTACAGCATGTTGCCAGTTTAATTGAATTAATAAGCAAAGGAGGAAAAAATAGAGGTCAGTTCTGATACTAAATTGCTCGATCTTCTTTTCTAAAGAATTTTAATCACGTTTTTATCACTTCATTAATTTTTTCAATTTTTTCTCAAACAGTAACTATTCTTCTTAGAAATAGCCACAGGCTATGTTTGAATCATCTCAAACGAGCTCCTTTTGAATTATTCATGTGAGAAAATCTCTCTAGATATCCAGAAATAGGGCATCTTTCTGCTTCCATAATTTAAAAACAACTGACCGCATATTGCTGAAAAGAAAAACTGTTTGAAACCAGATTTGAAAAATATCACCCCATTTTTCTTTGTACAGATCAAATTTGCTGGAGAAAACTGGGGGAAAATAGAACTATAATAATACACTTGACTCTTTTTTACTGTATGTTTATGTTTGTGTTTCTTACCTGTTAGAAATTGCCAATAACTAGAAAGCAGGCAGCTGTCTACACAGTGAGGCTGAACATTTTTCTAGCACAATGCCATGATACATGGGCAAATTCCACTAGTAGTAGATGTGAGCATAACTCTGGGCTTTGAGACAAAGACCTTCTATGTAAATCCGGTCTCTACTCACTCCTTTTTTTTCTCTTTTCATTTTCTTCTCAAGGAACGCAAATTTCCCAAGTTTGTATCCAAAGAAATGGAAAACATGTACATCGAGGAGCTCAAGTCGTCCGTCAACCTGCTCATGGCCAACTTGGAGAGCATGCCGGTGTCCAAAGGTGGGGAGTTCAAGCTTCAGAAACTCAAACGCAGCCACAACGCTTCCATCATCGACATGGGTGAGGAGAGTGAGAACCAGCTCTCCAAGTCAGATGTTCTGCTGTCTTTCTCCTTGGAGGTAAAAAGCCTAAACTTTTCAAAGTTTCCTGGCACAGCAAGCAGGACCCGGGTGATTAGTTACATCACAATCAGCTTGTTTTCCCTTTTGCACGCCAGGAACAGTTATTAAAATAATAGCTTGCTAAGCACAGGTCAGCTAATCAGCAAGTAATTTCCCATCTCCAGGAGACCACACTTTTCTGAAGGAAATGCAGTTTTAAGAACCACTTACTAAATTTACTCTTGCATTACTTTCCCTGTCTTAAAGCAGTGCTCAAGAATTTTGTAAATACCTTATGCAATTTAGAGTTTAACATTTTAGCAACCTGTGTGATAGTTACGAGAGAAGCTGTCTAGCATCATTTTGTGATGAGTTGTAAATTTTCTTTTCCATCATCTTTCCTGTTGGCTACGTGGTAGAGAGTCCCTTGTGGTAGTGAAGCCTTTTTTAGTTTATCTCAGCACCCAAAATAAGAACCTGTTCAGGCCAGTATTATGGCAGAATGCTCTACATGTCAATAAATTTCTCTGTAATTTCTCTTTACACCTTTGCTTTTCGTCTATATAATCTAAGCAGTTGTTTGATCTACCTATATGGGAATTACCTGAGAAGCTGGTTCAGTATGCAAATTCCTGGGCACCACCCAGACCTGCTGGCTGACCCAGAGTCTCTAGGGAAATGGGAATATAAAATGATGCAGCCACTTTGAAAAACAGGTTAACATTTCTCAAAAAGTTCAATGTAAAACTACCATGTGATCCAGCAACTCCACTCTGATATCTACCCAGTAGAGATGAAAATACATGCTCCCACAAAGACTTGATTGCAAATATTTATAGCAGTGTTATTCATAGTAGACAAAAATGGACACCACCTAACTGTCCAGCAGCAGGTGAGTGGATAGACAAAATGTGCTATATCCATACAACAGAATCCGATTCAGCAATTGAAAGTAACAACCTCCTGATGCATCTGATGACACGACTGAGCCTCAAAAGTATTCCGCTTGGTGAAAGAAGCCAGACACAAGAGACCATCTATTGCATGATTCCACTGATCTAAAATGTCCTGAAGGCAGACCTACAGGAATAGCGAGTAGATTAATGTTGCCTGGGGCAGGAGGTGAAAATGGGCATAAGCGATCTTATTTGGGGAGATAAAAATGTTCTAAAACTAATTTACGACAATGATCACACACTTAGTACATTAACTAAAAATCATTGAATTGTACACCCGAAATGGGTTAGTTATATGATATGTAAAATATGCCTTAATAAAGTTGTCAGAAAAAAAAAGAAACTCTAGGTGGGGCGCAGCCCTGGAATGTGTACTTTAGCAAGCTACCCAGGTACGCATGCACTCCAAATTAGGGGAACCACTGACAACTTATCAAAGTTCAGAATCCCACAAGGATTTTATGATGACCCCAGATTTGAGGAGACCAAGAGAATAAATCAAATTTCTGTACATTTAATTAGAATGTGTAAAGACTAAATTAATTTTCTAGAACATCGTTAAGACTTGCTGTGAATTAACTGCAGGTAATTTGTTTTTCTGTGCTTGGTGAGGATCAAGATACTCACATTACAGTGTCTTCAGCATGTATTTTGCAGTTGAAAGAAGCAGTATTCAATTAAATATAGAGCACTTGGTGTGTGAAAAAATCATCAGTGTAATTTCACAGAAACTTTCTTTATTTTTAATACTACCACCTGAGGTACTGAATGCTTTTTCTTAGGTGTCTTTGAATTTGATTATTGCCAATTAGAGGTGGCAATTTATTCCCTACTGCCTCTTGTCTTCCTATAGAAAGGGGGGGAGGGGAAGTGGTTTATTGATTTTTGTGAAGGTCTTAAATCTGTAATTTTCTAATTCTTTATTGATACTCAACATTATACAGCTGATTATCTGAAATATAGATGTGGGCAAGTACCCAACTATGCTCCTATGTGTACATGATTCAGACAATTTGGACTTGTAAATACAAGTACAGAATGAAATGCCCTTGGGTTCCCAAATACTCTTTAATTAGAACACTAAATTGCATGTCACAGCAAAACTGCCAACAAAAACCATTGCACATCTATTTGTGAATGTGTTTGTGGGGATACGGTGAGGGGAGACAAGAAGTAAAGGATTGTCATCTCAGCAGGGCAGACTAGGATTGAAATTTGCAGGTTGATGCAAAACATATTTTATATAACTATGGAATTGCATGGCTGGAAGGGACACGAGAGTAAGTTACTCTGCAGCAAGTAAACTAGGGTCCAGGACACTGAGTGGCATGACCTTGAGCAGGGACAGTGTTCTGATGAAAAGCAACAGGGATTTGCAGAATGCTATGATGGGCTGGGTGCTTTATCCTCATCAACTTAGTGACAATCTTTTGAGGTGTTTACAGATGTGGAAACAAAGCCTCGGAGAACCTAAGAAACCTGCAAATGATCACACAGCTAGTGAAGATGCAGAATCAGGATCTGAAGTCAGATCTTTTAAATTCCAAAATTTGTGTTTTGTCCACTGTGCTTTCCATTTCTTATCATTTGTGTGGTTCTTCCCAAAGTAAACATGTTCAGTTATATACATCATTTCATCTGATATTCATACAACAGCCACAGGATACATATCATTATCTCCACTTTACAGATAAGAAAAATGAGGCTCTGGGAATTTGAAAGAAAAATGAAGTGACTTCAACATCAAGACATCTGCCCAACATCACATGAGTAGCACAATGGTTCTCAGAGTATGGCCCCTGGGTCAGCAGCAGCAGCATCACCCTGAAAATTGTTAGATATGGAAAGTCTGGGCTCCACCCCAGACCTACTGATCAGAAACCCTGGGAGTGGAGCCCAGCAAGCTGTGGTTTAACAAGCCCTACTGATGATTCTGATTCACACTAAGGTTGAGAACCCATAGACTGTTAAGCGGCAAAACAGTGACTCATGAATCCTGGATCCAAGATGGCCCTTTTGTACTTCCTGGAATCAAACCCATCAAGGAAGTATACATTTTTTGCACACCCACATTCTTGTTCTTGTGTAATGCCATTACTTCTCTTGGAGTACAATTGAGTGATTATAGATCTCTGATATAGGTCATTTGTTTCAGTTTTTTAAATCAATAATTCTTTCTTTTCTTTTCTCCTCCCCATTTCCTCTCTCCTCTCTGTTTTGCTCCTCCTGTCTCTCATGACAAGGCATACCACTAAATATCAGAATGCCTAGTGATTGAATAGAGTTTGGAGTAGTTAGTGGTGAGAAGTACCAGAAATTGTAAATGTTACATCTAGGTCCGTCATGACACCAGCCTTTTCCCTCAGTCTAGACCAGAGACTATGCAGCTGCAGACATGTTTTTGTTTTGACTCAACAATGTTGGCCTGCACAGAGTTTGCATATTTAATTTCTCCCTATTTGGATTATTGTCAATATTTTAAAAGCAGATTTCTGACTGTGATTCTGATTCAGATTTCCATTTTCTGGCAGGAAAAATTGGGTAACTCTGGTATCTGGTAACTCCGAACTGGGGAAAGACAAGGCAGCAATGGGCTGCAACTGGCAGCTGCCCCCTTAGGCGGAGCACGTGCTCTTCAGTTTGCCACAGTCTCCAGTATTCCCTATTGCACCTCTGACTCTAATGATAAATGGCACTTGCCTTTATCTTAGTACTTGCACTATTGCTTATTTTATTTTAAAGAGAAAAGTGAATTCATAAGCCTATGACTCTCTGCCAAGTGCTGAATCAAAAGCTAAGCTAAAGAAAACAGGAGAGAGCCTATTTCTTGGTGGAAATGAAAAAACATCCTATTTGTTTAGCATGGAAAGAGTAGCCTATTTCATATTACCTGTCTGACCCCTGTGAGCATCTGAATTAGCAAGTGTCGTCTTTTTATCTGGGAGACGATAGCTACACACTATGAGGAGTTGCATCATCCTGCTAGACTGGTCTGGGGAAAACTGGTAGAAACCTGACAGAAGCCATCAGATACCTGTTGCTTTTCTTTGTAACCGCTTATGTATATGTTTTCCTGTGGGTGATGCTTCCCATGGACACTGGCAATAACCTCCATTATGTGTGATTCTATTTTGAGGTGGTCATCATGGAAGTTCAAGGCCTCAAATCCTTGGCTCCAAATCGCATTGTATATTGCACAATGGAGGTGGAAGGAGGAGAGAAACTACAGACTGACCAGGCCGAGGCATCCAAACCAACGTAAGTTATGTTTCCCATGGTGCTTCTTACAGAGGGTTGTTGCCATTGGCTACATTTTGGCCAACTCCAAGGTAAAGGTTTATTTTCCCTAGAAAGTCCTAGAAAAAACATACCTGTTTATTTTTCAAACAAGATGACTGCATTTTCACTTGACAGCCATTACAGGGTTTCCAGTTCCTTCAAAGCAGAGAGCAGAAGGAAATTAAAGAAAGCATTCTTTCTAGAAGCTTTAGGTGTTCAGCTTAGAGAGTTTAGTTACAACTTTCCCCCTTCAATACGATGTGCAGAAAAGTTAAATTTGATATAAATTTGTTTTATTATATTTTCTACATAATATTTGTTTATAGCATAAGTAATTTTTTTCAAAATCTTTCTCTGTATGCCAGTTATGAATAGATTACAAAGCAATATGTTACATTGAACACAATACATTAATTTGTTAGGTCAATACAATTTTGTGAAATGTTCACTGCGTGCGTGTACACCCAAGGTATTGTTGCACAGTGGAGAGGAAAATAGTCATTGTTGTAGCCCTACAGAGCTTAGAGTTTAGTAGAGGCATCCAAAAAATAATCACACAAATATATAATTATAAGTAGTTATAAATGTTGAGAAAGAAAGAATACTTTGAGGGTAGATAGCAAAGGACCTGAACCAGTTCATGTGAACAGAGGCAGAATAAGCCTTCCTTAGGACATGTGAGTCATTTGAGCTAATATTATGGAATGGGAGTGGGGGTGGAGAGCATTTGGAGCAGAGTGAATAGCTTGCGCAAAGGTCCTGTGGTCAACAAAGACCCTGTAGCAAGGAGGGATTCAAAGAAGGCCCTTGTTAGGCCACAGAGGGAAAAGCATGGGGAGACATGATGAGATATGTATTTTGAAGAGATCACTCTGGCTTCAGTGGAGGGGGCCAGAGTTGGTGCAGGAGATAGATCAGGTTAGGATCCTGTTGCAGTGGTCCACAGGAGTAATGATGGTTAATTCATTTGGGTCAATAGACTCTCAGGCCTCAAAGATTCTTGTGAGATCACTGCTCCCTTCCCTCCCTGCTCACTGCCTCTCTCCCTGCCTTATCTGTCTCAGTTCAGTCAGTCTAGACTAATGAGCATCCTTTTTTTGTTGGTGGTGTTAATTCATAAGAGAGTCATCAAAAGGGTAACTCCTAATAGCAGCTCACTGCCTCTCCTCCCCCAGAGCATTATGAGCTGTTTGGCAGAACATGAATAACTTACCAGGATGTTCAAACAAAACAGTTCAAAGAAAGCACTGAATGTTTCCCGGACTAGAGAAATTCGGATGGGCATTGTATGCCTTCAAGTGGTTTTTTGCATGAATAGGCCTCAGATGCTCAGAAGCTGGGTGAAATTAATGAGTGTGTGCAGGAGGAAATGGAAACCAATGCAGTTTGTCCCACACCTCCCTCCCTCCGTTTTTTTAAACTTAGTTTCACACTGACAATGAACGCAGTTTCTCTTTTATTACCCTTGATGAAATCCCAATTTTTCCACAAATGGCTTGATCATTATCAGTGCTATTATGTTATGCTGTACTACTTATATGTGCTTTTTTAAAATGTGTGATATATGGGAGAAGGGAAACCTATTTGGTGTTTCTGCCAATCTTTAAAGACGTGGGCCCCAACATGGTGTCAGAAGACAGAGAAAGAAATAGCTCTGATTATTCTAACCGGCTGTTGTTTCACATGAGCTGTGTTAACTCAAAACACAATTCATATCATCTTATTGGATGTAATAGGCTAAGTTGCCAGGGTAAATAATTAGTTGATTTTCATGTGTTTATGAATGTTTAAAAGAGAGTTACAGATTACAAATAAATATAGAATGCTTGGGTCTACCTACTTGAACATGAATACATAGTACATAGTACATAGAACATGAGTACATATTCCACATACATATTTGCTCATATACATGTGCATTAATCATGTTGTCCATACACATAAACATCTCACAGTGAAACATTTTGTTTTTCTACCCAGAAGTATACTTTTTTAATTCATCTTCAATTAGTGAGTGGGTATTACCAAAACCTCACAGAGGGTATATTGATTTGTTTATTTTTTTAAACTGACACATAATTGATTGTACATATTTATGGGGTACAGAGTTAAATTTCAATACATGTATACAATGTATGATGATTAAATCGGGGAAGTTAGTATATACATCATTGCAAACATTGAACATTTCTTTGTGATGAGAGATTTGATTTGTTTGTTTTTTAATACATTAAGAATCCAGGTTTGATGACAAGGATCAAGTCAGATCAGTTGGTAGCAGCCACCTAGAGTGCCATATTGAGAAGAGTTATGACACCAAATCTGTATTCAGAGGATGATAGTGCCGTGATCAACTCGTCATGCCTGCTATGGGAGAGGAAGGGGCACTAGTACCCCGTATTTGCCATTTCTAAAGTATCCCAAAGAGCTTAAAATCTAGAAACACTCGTATTTCTTCCTGTCTTTTCCTTTATCGTTACTGTATAGATTCTCCTTATAACCTTTGGTCATCTTCCTTCCAAACCTGCAGTTCTTTTCCCAGTACTTTTCTTTACCTTTTTCTTTGTTATGGTTCAGTTCTGCTAGTTTGCTTCTCCAATTTTATCTGGCAGGATGAATGAGCCTATTCTCGCAGGTCCACTTTCTTCCTGCCTCCCCAGGTTTGACTTACTCAGAATCCTCTCAATCATTTTTTTTCTCTGAAGCTTTTATTTCTTCCCCTTTTCTCTTCCCACCCACTCCTTCTACTCACAGTTTCTCTCATTACTAATCTCCAGCTGTCATCTCTGCTACTTGATTTTTATTATCTCGAAATGATTCCTTTAGGGGGTTATCTCTCATTTGTCCTAATAACTCCACTTCATCATCTGACGTTTGACTTACTCAGAATCCTCTCAATCATTTTTTTTCTCTGAAGCTTTTATTTCTTCCCCTTTTCTCTTCCCACACATTCCTTCTACTCACAGTTTCTCTCATTACTAATCTCCAGCTGTCATCTCTGCTACTTGATTTTTATTATCTTGAAATGATTCCTTTAGGGGGTTATCTCTCATTTGTCCTAATAACTCCACTTCATCATCTGACAAGGTTAGACCTTTTCCTTCCCTATTCATCTCTGAGGCTTGTCTTTGGCTATTCCTACAGCCCGCTGGTGCCCATACTTTATTTATCTATTCTAAAACCAAAATTCTATTCAAGCCTGTTTTGTTTATTACTCATAAATTCCGCTGTTGCTGCTACCATGTATTACACCTGGTAACTGAAACCGTAACCTCTTGCCATATCACATGTCTACAAGGAATTTAGCTTTTGTCTTTTTTTTCAAGGACAGTCACAATCCGGGAGTACATTCCATAACCCATTTTGTCTAAGAGTGTATTCTTTGGAACTCTAATGTGTAGAATACTCCAAGAAAAATGGGAGTAGAGTGAGTAGAACAGTGGTCAAGTAAGTTTGGGAAATACAAGACATTATATTTCTTTCTATTCATAATGTACATTGGCATTTTAAAGATTTTGAACATTCCAACAATAAATAAACCTGTTTATACACGATTTTCCCAAACTTATTTCAAGTAATACCTGTTAACATCCGTATTAGTCCTGTTTCTGTTGCTCATAATAGAACACCTGAAACTGGGTAATTTGTAAAGGAAAGAGGTTTATTTCTTACAGTTTTGGAGGCTGGGAAGCCCAAGGTCCAGGGGTACATCTTGTGAGGGCCTTCTGCTTGGTGGGGACTCTCTGCAGAATCCCGTGGTGACACAGGGTGTCACATGGTGAGGGCTGAGCAAGAGTGTTTCCACACGCTTTCTTCCTCTTCTCTTAAAGCCCCCAGTCTACTCCCTGATAACCCATTAAAAAATTAACCCATTAATCCATTAACAGAGACATAGCTCTTATGATCCAATCACTTCCCAAAGGCCCAATCTTTCAACACTGCCACATTGGGGATCCAGCTTCCACATGAGCTTTGGAGGGACAAACATTCAGATCATAATAACATCCAACTGGAAAATGCTGGTCTATATTGTTCAGCCCTAGTAATAGAGGTTCTGAGCTCTCCCTCACCTCCTGTCACCAATGCCGTCTCTTCACTTAGTAACCAGGGCCCTGCCTAGCATGGTTGTATTGGATCAGTTGCACAATATAAGAATACTGCGTTCATAAGGTATGTGTACTTTGTGGTTGGAAAAAATGATGTGTGTGGGCATGTGGCCGGTGAGGACAGTCTTTATTCTCTCAGCTGAATTCTGGCCCCTACTCAGCCTTCATTTTATCAATTGGTTTGCTACATGTGGGTTATTTTCAAGCAGACTATATATCCTCTTGATTCTGTTGTCCTCCTCACCTAGGCTTTTAACATGGAAAGCCAGGAGATACATGATTAAGATTTTTCCATGAGATGTATTTATTTAAAAATATTGCTTTCCTTTGTTACATATTGTTTCTGCTTCTGGTAGGAAACCAATAGGG